GCTATGGTTTTTCCTGTCGTGATGTATGGAAGTGAGAGCTGGACCATAAAGAAAGCAGACCGCCGAAGAATTGATGCCTTTGAATTGTGGTGCTGGAGGAGGCTCTTGAGAATCCCCTGGACTGCAAGGAGAACAAACCTATCAGTTCTAAAGGAAATCAACCCTGAGTGCTCACTGGAAGGACAGATCCTGAAGCTGAGGCTCCAATACTGTGGCCATCTCATGAGAAGAAAAGAGTCCTTGGAAAAAACCTTGATGTTAGGAAGGTGTGATGGCAAGAGGAGAAGGGGACGACCGAGGATGAGATGGCTGGACAGTGTATGCGAAGCAACCAACATGAACCTGACACAACTCCGGGAGGCAGTAGAAGACAGGAGGGCCTGGCGTGCTCTGGTCTATGGGGTCACGAAGAGTCGGACACGACTAAACGACTAAACACACACACACCAAGACTTTGGATTAACAATCAGCCTGAAGAAAACACAAATCATGGGCCAGGGCGTGGACTCACCTCCCTCTATTACGATCTCCACACAAGAACTGCCTCCGATGCATTTTTGGTGTCACCTGGCAGGACAGAGTTCCAAATAGAGTAGTCCTAGAACGAGCTGGAATTTTTAGCATGTGTACATTACTGAAATAGCAATGTCTACATTAGCTCGGGCATGTCATGAGAATGGCTGATGGTCAGATTCCAAAAGATATCCAGTATGGAGAATGAGTGCAGGGAAATCGCCCAGAGGGAGACTACAGCTGCGATACAAGGAGATCTGCAAGCGGGATCTGAAGGGCTTAGGAATGGACCTCAACAAATGGGAAACCTTAACCTCTAAGCGTTCAGCCTGGAGGCAGGGGGCGCATCACGGCCTCTTCCAATTTGAAAACCAGGGAGCTGGACAGGAGAGAGATTGGATTTGTCTTCAGTGTGGAAGGGACTGTCACTCTCGAATTGGCCTCAGCTACACTAGACGCTGTTCCAAGTCCTCTATTCAGAGCATGTTACCATGCTCTTGAGGCGGAAGGATGCCTAATCCTACTCTGGACACATCATGAGAAAGTAGGATCGTCCGGGGAAGACAATAATGCTGGGAAAGGTGAAAGGCAGCAGGAAAAGAGGAAGACCAGATACAGGATGACTCCCTAAAGGAAAAGCCACAGGTCTGAGTCTGCAAGAGCTGAGCAGGGTTGTTGGGGACAGGACATTTTGGAGGTCATTCATTTGGAAGGGTGCTATAATTCGCAGGCAACGTGACGATAGAGAACAACATCAAAGAACTGTAGATAGTGGTGCTACAAATCTGTTTTCTTATTTCCATTTCTGTCAGAGTGTTGTACAATTTAAATTGATGGCCAGGTATAAATAAAATTGAGGCAAATTAAACTATCAGAATGATTGGATTATTTTTGACCAGAAGCAGGCTAATTTTAATAATGTTTTCTCAGCCGTTCATTTCTGCATGTGATGGGGCATAAATTGCATACACATGGCAACTGTGTATGCAATTGAAGGCTTCTGGTTTTGGGCCAGAGGTGACCATCTCATGGTAGAATGAAATGTCATTTTTGTAGACCCATTATTTATTTATTTAACTTATATGTTACCCACACTACCCAAAGGTCTCTGGGCGGCTTTATAATCATGATGTTTGATTTTTTTTTTTTTTTACTGTTATTGTCTTGCTGAATTGTAAACTGCCCAGAATGGCCTACCAGCCAGATGGGCAGTATACAAGTTGAATTAATTGATTGATTGATTGATTGAATGAATGAATGAATGAATGAATGAATGAATGAATGAATGAATGAATGAATGAATAAATAAATAAATA